ATTTGGGATCCGCCATTTTGTCCGCTAGGGTTGTTATGAAGTACTCGTTTAAAGAAAGAACTTAGAAGGCAATGTTGCGACAAGTGTCCACGAAAACAATGATACTACCCGCCTTCGTTTTCTCTGGGCGATAATCAACTGGGCTAAGTCTCTTGACTAAAAGAAATCTCGACCTCGCAGTATTTGTTGAACAGTGTTCCTGTCGAGGGTATATGGACCGAGAGCTCCCCATCGAAAAGTTTTGTTACAAAAACAACTTTGGAATTCTCGAAGAACTAGGAAAGGATAATTTTGCCCGGAGTCGTCCGAGATTAATTAAAGCAAGCGTTAAAATTGTGTAGTGTTGTGGATTTACATTTAACAAGGAACATCATGAGGCTATGGTGCTTCTACTGATATGTATTTCGTTTCCACTAACAAATACTGATTGGCCATGCTACTCACTATAGCTTTTCCATGCTAGGGAAACGTTAAAGGGAATCTTAGAGCTAAGAAGCAGTTTTGTTCCAAATCGCAAGTTGGTATTTATGTTAAACTGTTCCAACGATTTGAATTTTTGGCCTGTTTTGAATATTGACCGTTTCGCGACTTTCGCTTCTGCTATTTAAGGATTTCAAATTCTCCGCGCGCCATATTTATTTTTGTAAAGCTTGACGGGAACTTTTGATGTCATTAGGCAGAAGGAAGTTTTTAAAATACAGCATTGCAAGAATCTAGGGACTTAAAAGTTCTTGTAATGGTTTATAATTCATAAGCCATATGTACAGTTCCAACGAGAAATCTTAGACTCCATATTGAGATCTCTGACAGCCAGCGCAATGACGTCATAAATTAACATGAAGTAAACATGAAGTAAACATGGCGTCGCCCAGGTGATTTAAACTGGAAACAAAACACTTCGTATTCGAACCACTTATGGAGATATCACCTTAAAACGGTTAATCCAAGGACCAGTTAAAGGTTATCTTTCGGTATACCTTGGAACTGAACCTGCTTTTCAGCCAAGATTCCTGTGAAGCATTGTACACTAAATTACTACTTCTCCTGTCATTGGTCCGCTCACAGTTCTTACATTTCTTCAAAGGCTGGTTTTCACTAGTGACGGAGTCTTAGTCGGAGGAAGCAGAAGCAGAAGAATAAACCAGTCAAAATGCTCGATTTCGGGAACACTAGGTCGTAAGTGCTCTTACGACTCCGACTACGACTCCGACACCAACTTCGTCGCTAGTGAAAACAAGCCTTTCAAAATCGTCCAGGAAAAAAAACGAAGGGAGATAACGAACCGACACACTCGTGCGCGTTGTATATATATACATTGTGGTGTAATACACTCATTACAAATTAATTTACACATCAACTTAGCAGGCTCGTTACGACCATATACCCACTTAGCAAGCGCGAACGAACCTCTGGCATTCCAAGGGAAACTGAAACTTTTCAAACAGCGTGTGTGATTGAATTGGCTGGTTTGACAGTGTTATTTACATTTCGTTTCGTGATTTTACATTAGAGAATATGGAAAAAAATCTTTGAGAATATCAAAAACGCTATTCAATGGAGAAATCAAGTTCAAACCCTACGTTTTACACTACTGTCGACGCATGTTAACCTTGAGGGATTCATACTAAGAGTCAGTGGCGATATCTGCAACTATTATAGAAGAGACTGTAGGTCGCCATGCAGGGACCAGTTTTAATAATGAGTTCACAAGATGAAAGCACAAATGGAACGTCAGAGAGATTGAAAAGCCCTAGAATGTTTTCAAGGGTGCGAGCCTCCAGTTCTAACTAATAATATTTGCTACTCTGATAACTTTGCCGACATGTCCTGCGTCCAACTGCGCTGTTGAAAGTAACTTTAACGAAATGAAGAAGTTAGATAGTCCCCTTTGAAGAACTACAAGTGACGAGAAGTCCTGACGGGCAAATCTCGATATACAAAACAAGTAAGGGTGTGGACACGGACAATTTGGTTGTAGAAGTTGCCCGTCATAAGGGGGACATCTCGCCCTTTGGTTGCAAACATTTTAAAAACCGTCTTATCTATTAAAAACTCCTGTTAACTATCTAAAGGTTAACATAAAAGCAAACTAAGTATCTAACGAAACAGCATTTTGCCTTGTTTTGATTTAGAAATATCTCCCTGATCGCTGGAACACGCAAGAATTGACATATCCAAGCCACTAAATATAGAAATATCGACTTCGCTCAATCCACCCCGAAGAGAATAAATCACTGGATCTGATACAGATTGTTGCCGATCAGTCAGTCAGTCTTCGGAGCCCTCAAGTATCCAAAATGAGATCTTCTTAATTGTGCAGCATCCCTGAATCAGCTCTTCCAGCTCAAGGAATTTTTTATCAAGGCCCTCGTTCTTTGACTTCAGAGAAAGATGTTGAAGATGTGCGTCATTCTTAAGCTGTTTTATTTCCTCTAACATGTCGTCTGTGTTTTCCTTTGTCTTCTTACCAAGATCCTCCAGTTCCCGTCTAATCATCCTCAAAAGATCGACAATGATGGGTTCTTCTCTTTTTCTTTCTTTTTCTTCTTTTTCGAAGAGTTTCCTATCCCACCTCGCCATAACTTCGCGGTCAAGCTCAGGCGCCGTACTCTCCACCCATTGCGGTCTCTCCTCAAGAAACATATCTTTTAGTCGCTCGAAGGAGGAATCTAGTTTACCTTCCAGTGCCTCTGATTCTCTTTTAGCCTTTTCCAGATGAATCGATATTTCATGCATTTCCTTCTTGAATGTGTTGCAGTCAGCGTCGACAGTTTCCTTCATCACCTTTATATCATTTAAAGCCATCCGGATAACCTGTTGCTCAAGTTGAAGATCGCTGCTACGTGAGCCTTTTTCCCTTGTGATTGGGCGGAAAATCTGCTGTTCATCCGTGATCTCTCTACTGGGACGCATCTAAATAGACAGACTCTGATTTAAGATTGTCAAAGTTAACGGAACTCACCGTATTTACTCAAAATTTAAAATCATTATAGCTAAAAAAAATTACATTGTTTCTCTGTTGGTGTTTTACGAAATGTTCTGTTGTTGTGCTGTGTATATTAAACAATAATTCCACGAGCGCGCATTGAATATGAGATGGTAGAAGAGATATTCCTTGATGTCAGTTATATATGTCCCGTATTTAATAGAGTTTGACTTGTTAAAACGTTTTACTCGAAATTTGGTCAGTACTTGACTAGTGCCTCGTGATCAGCAGAGACGTATTTCGTTTGTTTTGTAGAGCAGTTGTAAAGTTTAACTAATTATTTTGAAGTCAGTATTCTCAGTAAATTTGCATTTTGTACTCTTTGAGTCTTCAACTGAGTAAAAGACAACCATTACTCGTGTAATAAGTGCCCCAATTAGGAAGCAAGATAGACCTGGCTCATAGTGCTGTTACGTTAGTGTCCAACAATTAATCAAATAAACTGTACATACTAAACTGAATTAATCGTACAAACCTTGGCCAACACTCTTATTCCTTGGTGACCCATGCCTATGTAAGGGTACATTAGTTTCCCGCCCGGAGTGTAGTCTATCCATATCTCATCTTCCGTGATTCGTCTTCCATTCAGTGTGAACGCCACAGGCACTTTACCGTTCGTGATCCTCTCGAACTTGATAGTACAGCCGATCAGGTCGCCACGATAAGCCATGGCATCTATATTGAAACGCGATCCGAGCAAAAGCAAAGCAAACAAGTAAATAAACACACTATCCATTTTTAATTCTGTTGGATATCATTATTTATACCATGCCATAGAAAATAAAGCTAATCAATACGGAAGAGCTGTTGTATATTTCGACATTATTAAATTCTCAACATCGGATAGTGCAATTCTAGCTTTCTGATTGGTTCACTGGACCTCGGTTACCAGCCACCATACCTGCGGTTGACCTTATATGGAAATGAATGCGGTAAATGTCGCTCGGCATAAACTTTTTCGCGGGAAGCCAAGTTTCGTCGACAAAAAAATGGATCAAAAAAGCAGATTCAGATTTTACCCATTCATAGAGATTACATAACAACAACAATGTTTACGTTAATGTTACAGAATAGCTTTCAGTGCTGGTGGCACCAAATTTTCAAAATCGGCAGAAGAAATGTCAAAAGAAGAACTGAATGTTTCTCTGAAGTATTTTTACACGTCTTTGAGGAAGAAAGATGGTAACTATTACAAAAGTTTATCACTAAAATCCACAAGAGCCGCGACTGATCGTTTCCCTCGCTCGCCGCCGCACAACAAACCGTTTTGCGCTGTCGCTGACCCCGCTTTTACTGAGGCAAATAAAGTACTAGAGCAATCGTAAAAGACCTCAGGAAGACAAGAAACATTGCCGGCGCAGTTTATAAGAAGTCAATTTCCAATGAGCAGATGAAGAAACTGTTCGACATCGCCGAGCTCGAACCGGCCGAGAGCAAAAATCCCGCACAGCTACAGAGGACGACCTAGTTTTTTT